CCCAGGAGTTTGAGGTTGCTGTGAGCTAGGCTAACGCCACGGCACTCACTCTAGCCAGGGCAACAGAGTGAGACTCTGTCTCAAAAAAAAAAAAAAAAGAAATATATGCTCACTACAGGAAATGGGGAAGATACAATTAGTTGAAAAGAAACAGAAAAGTAACCACTATTCCCTAGGCCAAAACAACCACTACTGCATGGACGTCTTCCTCCTTCCTTCCAAGTCACTTTCTTAAACATCTTTCCAACACGGAGGTAATGCGACCTATACAATTTGGACTCCTGGTTTATTTTCATTCTGTTTTGTTTTTTCACTTAAGGTATCTTACCTCTTGGTTAGTCTTCATTTCTTCAACATGGTCAGACAAAAACTGCACACAGTTCTCCAGGTCAAAGTAGACAAACCAGAGCTGTGGGGAGAAGCAGCCATGACCGCAGTAGCTCAAAGCCAGCCCTACCTGGAACGTCCCTCCCTGCGACCGTCCTCCACCTCCCGTCTCCTCGCCAGAGGCCCAGCCTCCGGAGGCCCACCAGACGTAGCCTGCTCTCTGGCAGGAATGTGCCATTCTGTTCTCTCCTGGAGTCCCACGCCATGACCACATCTCATTTGTAGGGCTGGTAGAAAAATGGCTTTGTGCAGATTTAGAAAATGTCAAACTCTGTTCAGAATGGCTGTGCCCCATCCCCACAACTCGCTGAGCACCCCAGACAGACTCCTAACCCTCCTGGACATCTAGGGGTTCCATCTGCGGCTACCATCTTCATCCTCAGTGACTGGGGCACCTTTCTGTCTGGAACCGAACATGCAGATGAGTGAAACCCGTCAGGGCTGACTCGTAGCTGCGGCCAGGTAATCAACTTAGGTGCTCCAGGGAAGGGCAGAGGGATGAGAAGTCCTCGCCCCGCCCTGGCCTCCCCTTCCACCTCAACCTCAAGGGTCCCCGGGGGCCAGGCTAAACTCAACCAGGCTGAAACCCTCCTTGTTCACACATTACAACACCTGGTGGGGCCACACCTGCCGCACCTCACAGTGAAGTTCTACAGGAAACTGGTGGCCCTTGTCTCACGCCCCCATCCGCTGGCCACCTCCTCAGGACCCCAGACCTCCCTCCTCCCAGTGACTGACCCACGAGACCCAAAGTCACATCACTCGTACCCACTAGTTTCTCCCACTGTCTCATCTCCAAAGGAGTATTTTCCAGATGATTCTTTTGAAGCTTTTTACTATGAAAATTTCTAAACATATACAAAAGTGGATGGCAGAGACCCATTGTCCTGCCTCAGCCGTAACCAGCTCACAGCCACTCCTGGTCCATGCACACCCTCACTCGTTACCCTCCCAGCACCCCCCGCACCACCGCAAATCTGAAGGGCTCCCTGACATTGTATCGCCTCATCCCAAGATACTGTTTAGAAACTGAAAGAGCCCCACTGTCTGAGAAGACGTGTCCATTCTCCACTCGGCCGCCATCCACTCATTCGACGGACACTTGGCCAGTCACCCCTGCACCAACTGATAAAGATTTGGAAATAAATGAGAATAAAAAGGGCCCCTGGATTCCACGAGCCCCCAGTCTCCGATGTCACACTTGAGCTGCCAGGAATCTTGCGATGCCATCTGCTTCACCCCGATGCTGATGTCAGGCATGATCGTCTCACACCCTACCCTGCCTCAGGTATGACAGGCCCCACAAACACAGGCCCGGCGCACAGCAGGCTCTCTTGTCAGGGGCCGTCCCTTTGCTCTAGGGCCAGAGAGGCCGCTGCTGGCTGTCTGTGCACCTGTCGGCCCCACCAGCCTGTGAGCTCCTGCAGGACGGGGACCTTGCACGGGCCCCTCAGTGTCTTCAGTGCCCAACTGGGAGCTCAGCACAGAGGAGGCCCCATCTGTCTGCTGAATAAATGCCGAATGAGCAGTGAGGCTTGGACACGATCTGAGCTTCCCTCCCAGCCCTGCCCCGCGCAGGTTCTAGGTCACCGGTTACTGCACAGAGGAGGCGTCCCCAGGAAGAGACACTGGAGCGGGGAAGCAGGGAAGGGCTGCCGACAGCCACCTCGTTAGCAGACTCCCGGAGACGCTGCGGGGTGGGAGAACACGAGGCTACCGCTCCCTAGCCGAGCCCCAAAGCGGGCCACTGAGAAGAGGTCACTCCAAGACACAGTACCTGGATCACGCTCTGGCATCCTTCCACCGTGTCCGTCACCCCCAGCAGCACCCGGTGTCTCAGGAGGGCTCCGTTGGCAGCCGCCAGCCTTAGGTCCGTGTTGGTGTTGGCCTGTAAGACAAACGCCAGGGAGCACCTGGGCCCTGGGCAACAGCCGCACACCGTCCCACCCCCAGATGCCTCAGGACAATCCTCTTCCCCAGGACGCTCCCCTCTCCTCCCCTGTACAATGGGGCGGAGGGTGCCGGAACAAATTCGGCTGTGTCAGACCGTCCTGAGCCAAAGCTGGCTCCTGGCAGAGACACCGTGCGCCCTTCCCTGAGCCTTGTTGTCTCCGGCTGCACAATCAAAGAGTGTCCCTGCCTCCTAGGAACGTGGCGAGATTTCACGGAGATCGTGCGTGAAGCGCTCCACCTGCGCCTGGGATTCAGGCGGGGTGCACAAGCTATTTGTGGGAGGCGGGGGACCGGACGGGTTTGAGCATCTGTTGCGTAAGAGAAGCCCCCGCTTACCTACGTGAAAGTGCGTGACACAGCGCCTGGCCCTCGGGAGGGGCTGTGGGAATCAGCCTCCTTCTCTCCCCAACCAAACCAAGGGATGCCATGTATTCAGCTGGCAAAGTACATGCCAGCAGGTAGGGGAGGGAGGACAGAGGAAGGGTAGCGGGGCCCCCAGTGCTGGTCTGGGGAAGACAGTCTAGGAGGACTTTCTGATGCAGTTAGAAGAAAACAGCAGATCAAGGACAATGGTTCTCGAAAGCAGCAGGACCCCCGAAGGGAGCTTCTGGAAATGTGAAGAGGCCCTTTTGGTTGTCATGGGGACGGGACAAACAGTGCTGGCACTTAGTGGAGGACGGCCAGGGATACTAAACGCATGCTTTCTGCAGAAGGACATGTCCTGTGAGAGACCATTCTGCAGTCGAAGACTGTCCCCTGGCCTCCTACCTGGACTCCACATGCCCCATTGGGCATGAATGCAGGAGGAAAATCTGCTCAGAGTTCTCTGATCAGCCAACCTAACTCCGCCGCACATACTTACCTAAAGGGAGTTTTTGCATGGGCTTAATATACACTGAGTTTTCCAGGAATCCCATAACTATAAAAATCAAGGGCTGATTATATTTTGTTTCACCTAGAACTTTAGTGAGTGTTGTTCATCCTTTCAGAAACCCACATCATCCACCGTTCAATTCCTGACTCTGACTCTCACTGCCTGTATAACTTTGGGCAAATCACTTCACATCTCTCTGCCTCCATCTCCTCACCCCCAAATTGGAGACAGTGACGCCCCCCTACCTCAGAGGGTTATAATAAGGATGAAATGAGTTAGTCCACGTAGAACATTTGCAAGAGTGAACATTTATATGTCAGCTAATAATATCACTGCGGTGATGACAGTGAATTTAAAATCATTGTGTTTTCCATTGTACCATGTTGGCCACAAATATTTTTAGGAACTTCCCATATGTCCTAGCAAGGCATCTGTAACAGATACAAGGTAGGGTCTTGCCTGCCTTTACAAACCTTCCAATCTTGAGAAAGGCTAACGATGCACCAAAAAGGGCAAACAAGGCAGTGTGTGCCAAACGTCGAGGCTCTCAAGCATGCTGGGTAACACAGGCAGGATGCTAACAGTAAGAGTGACGACGGTCAGGAAGGGGGATCCGCGTGGTCCTGAGTGACAAGGGAACCAGGAAGAAAAAGGTCCTGGGACTGAGACCCAAAGGCAGACCTGAGGATTCCGTGTGGCCACGGACCACTTACTTAACCTCTCTGAGCTTGCGTTTCCCCACTGGCAAACAGAGTCAACTATAACAGTTAATACTTATACAGCATTCACTTTACACCGGTACTATTATAAGTACTTTGTGTGTATCAAGTCATTTAATTTTCATAGTAACGCTATGAGGGAGACACAGTTATTATCCCATTTTACAGATGAGGACATTGAGGCCCTGAGAGGTTAAATAACAACTTACCCCAAGTTATAGAGCTAGCGAATGGCAGAGGTATCCTGCCTCCTTGTAAGGTGGTTGTTGGACATAGACATTGGGCCCCAAGCACAGAGTACACAGTAGGTACTCGTTAAATGGTGGCCATCAGTAGGAAGGAAAGGCAGCATCTTCTGATTTGAGCAGACAGCGATGACAGCATTGCTGCTGTGCACCTGCGGCCTCCATGCCGACCTCTGAGGAACGAGCCCAGGTCGTGCTCATCTCCGACCTGTGCCAAGCACACTACCTGGTACCCGCAGGGGCTTCGTAAACTGCCGCTGAATAAAAGGAGGAAGCGTGAGGAGGAGGCAGAGAGCTAAAGCAGGGGCTCCCTGAACTGCGTGAATTATATCTGCATCCTTGAAGCACCTGCCAGGTGCCAGATTTTTTTTTTTTTTGCTTGCTTCTGCTAAAGTCAAACACTTTGCTTTTGCCCCCCTCTAAGAAAAGTTTCCTGCTGCAGGGGTAGCCAGCTCAATCCATATTTTACAGGCCAAACACATAAGCCATGAAAGCTTCAACAGACCCCCAAGGGCGGTATATTTCGTCAGGCTCTTGGCAAAGCCCAGCAAAGCTCCTTTCAGAATGATTAAGCCATGAAGTTCCTTTTCGTCCCTGTGAACACACTCACTAAATAGAACTCATACCCCAAACCCTGACTGTAGTCAACACCCTGCCCTCCCCTCCTGAGTCACACAAGGGCAGACTGTTTGCGAAGGCTCTCAGAGCCCAGAACTGTGCCAGGAACTGGGGGACAGAGGCACAGGAGCCTCCCAAGTAGCTGGAAAGACAGCGAAGGTGTGGCAGGCAGAACAATGATTCCCCAAAGACGTCTAAGTCCCAGTTGTCAGAACCTGAGAATACGTTGTTACATGGCAAAGGGGAATTACAGCTGTAGGCGGAATTAATGCTGCCAATCAGCTGACCTTAAAATTACTAGATTATCCTGCATTATCCAGACGGCCCAATGTAATCATGAGGGTCCTCAAAAGTGGAAGAAGGGGGCAAAAGGGTCAGAGAAGGAGATGTGAGAAAGAGCGGACCTGCCATTGCTGGCTTTGATGGAGGAAGGGGCCACGAGCCAAGGAGTGCAGGGGCCCTCTGGGAGCTGGAAAAGGCGAGGAAACGGATCCTCCCCAAGAGCCTTCCGAAGGAACACAGCCCTGCGTTCACCTAGATCGTAACCCAGGGAAACTCGTGCCGAACTTCTAACCCACAGAACTGTACAATAAATTTATGTTGTTTTAAGCCATCAAATTCATGGTAATTTGTTACAGCAGCCGTAGAAAGCCAATACAGTAGGATATTGACTGAGAACGTGGCTTGGAATCTGGGTGTCCTGGCCTTGAGTTGAGTTCCAACTCTGCCCTCCACTAGCAGCACGGCCCTGGGCTGCTCCGCGATCCTGTCAGAGACTCCTCACCTAGAAAATGCGTGTAACAGCATCTACCCAGAGATTTGCTGAGGGATTTAATGAGTTAATGAAAAAAGCATTGAACAGACAACCTGCTATTAATACATACGAAGTGCTCAATACGTAACAAAAGACAGGCGCAGAAGAAACAGGCTACCACCAGAACCATGCATTAAGCTGGGAAGTATCAACCTTCTTTCTGAAGGTGATCAGGAATCGGAGGGCTCGGGCTTTGAACCCTAGCTCTGCCACTACGGTGGGATCCAGGACAAGTTACCTAAACTCTCTGACCACCCACTCTCTGCATCAAAGGTCGTCGCTGGGATTAGAGAGTGTCAACAGAGCACCAGGTCAGCATCCGCCCATCACAGGAAGGATTAATGGGAATCACTTCTCCCCATCCCTCAACCCCAGGCACCTCTGGCTGCGAGGGGGGCCCAGTAACTCTCCCTCGCTCACAGGGCTGTCGCGAGCATCCCGGGAGAGGAGGCGCATGAAAGGGCTGAGTTAACTAAAGCACTGTAAGAGTATTCGCTCTTGGTACCCTCCTCCCAGACTCTCTTTAAATACAGCTTGCTTCTAGTAAAACAGGATTGATAGAAAAAAACAGAGAAGATTTAATGACAGGTGTGATTTAATTTCTTTTAGTCACTGGGCGTATATGAGCTAGTGTGAATTTTCACGGTTGGAGGAATTCTTTGAGGAAGGCAAAGAGAAGACTCCTGCCTGCACAGCCCCTCTGGAGGGAGTGTGGCAGGGTCTCCAGCGTCTCACCTTCCTCTGGTGTCTCTCGAACACAAGCACGAGCATCAGGGTCAGGCTCACCGCGGCCAGGGTCACGAGCAGCACGCCCGCCCAGTGGTTCCCCAGGGCAAACATCTGGCTGGTGGAGTAGATGTTGGCCCACACGACCATGTAGAAGACCTGCGAGCAGGCAGAGCGCACACGGTCAGGAACGCCAGTCCTCAAAAGGAGCAGCTCTGTGCACAGGGAACCCTTTCCACACTCCTGACACCTTCCCTGCATTCCAACAGCTCCCAGGGCAAGCAAGGGACTGATGAGAACATCGGGGTCTGTGGGAATGAGCTCACGTTCCTTGTTTATAATAAGACAACGTAGATTAAAGGGGGCTAATCCTTGTTTACCTTGATTTCAAATAAAACAGAAAAGGGCAGATGGCTCTACAATGAGATAAACTGGAGTCCGAAACCCACATTGATCCTTCAGTTGCTATGTGGCTTTGGACAAATTGTCACACCTCTGAGCCTCAGTTTCCTCATCTGTAAAATGGGGATTAAAAACACCTACTTCATGGCATTGTTATAAGGTTAACAAGGTAACATATGCAATAGTCCAGCATCTATTAGGGAATTAACAAATGTGGGGTCCCTTCACCCTAGAAGTGGGAGTCAGGTGTGCTATTTGACCATTTATACATACAAAACAGCCACAAATCATAGCAGTTCAGAGCACAGATGCCGAAACCAGACTGCCTGGATTTGAATCCTGGCTCTGCCGTGTATGCATATATGTGTTTATGTGTATCTATATGTACGTGTTTATGTGTGTTTATACACACACATGCATATGTATACATACACTACAGCTGAAATGAACATATGGGGAAACCAAGCCCCAGAGAGGAGGAAAGTCTTGGCCAAGGCCAGACACTGAATCCAGAGCCTCGGTGGGTCTGCAGATTGCTAATCCCAAGCCCTGACCTGCCACAGTAGACCGTGACTCCCACCCTTTATGCAGGGACCTGGTCACAGCTCTCTCCCATAAATTTCCTCTTATACAAATCCAGTCCACGTGGCACTGCTCTTTCCCAGGCGGCCGCGTCACCAGCCCCACACCCCTCACCCACATCAACAGGCTCCAGGACACGATGCTGGACCCAGCAGGGCCGCCAGGGACCAGGGCAGGGTCAGGGTGCAGGCCACACCCTCCTTACCACAGCAAAGGCCAGCCGCATGGGCCTCGAGTTGTAGATGATGTATCTTCTCACTTGGGGCTCCAAGAGGGCACTCTCGGCCAAGCTCCTGTACTGGTCGGCCGGGACCTGCTCCGAACCAAGGGAAAGGGACCAATCAGCCAGAGGAAAGGCCACGTCCCACCTCCTTCCTGCCTGCAAGCATGTCATTTCCAGCTCATGTGACTGTCATGTGGAAGGGGGATCAGGCACATTCCGGGACGTCCCACGGGGCAGAATGAGGAGCTTGGAGCACTGGGTGGAAGTCGCAGGGAGCAGCTCTCAGCTCAGGAGAGAACAGGCATCACGGCATCCTGGAGAAGGAGCGGTGCAGCCTGAGACTCAGAACCCCACGGCCGGCACAGGGTAGCCTAGTGGTTAAGGCACAAGACCTGGTATCGACTGCCTGGAACCCAAACTCTGGCCCTGCCACTCACATGCTGTGTGACCTGGAGCAAGTAACCCCACTCCTCTGAGCCTCAGCCTTCCCCTCTGTAAGATGAGGATAATAAGAGTACCCACTTTGCAGGGCTGGGGCACACATTAAACAAGATAATACATATATAGCACTTGGCACAGGGCTGGTCCCTCAGTGAACACTCAGCACACAGGTGCATTATCAATATCTGTGAATGCAGACCAAAGCACTCACATCTTCCTGCCCAAACAAAAATGTCAATGTCTGTAGAGCATAAACGCCCTACTAGAGTAGACCTAAGAAAACAGAATGTAACCATCAAAAATTATATTTAGGAACATGGTAGAACAACATGTAAACTGTTCACCAGTTAAACAACCCCAATCTAAAGGCAACTTTTTAAGAAATAGGTTCTTCTGTACAGAGGAAATGTGGAATAATAAACCAATTTGTGCTGATGTGGGGTTAGCAATGTCAATTGGGAACATTTTCCTTCAATGGTGATAAAATGTTGTTCTAAACGATTTGGTTTTAAAGAAGTAAATTCTAAAATCTTCAGGGTAGAATTAGTAGTGAATCTTCCCCATCCCTAATTAATCTTCCCCGGCTCACACAGAGAAGGCCTAATCATGTTAGAGGCTTTGAGAAGAGAGAAAAACATACCTATAAGTGCTTCAGAACAATAAATAGCTACAATTTACATTTCCTATATGCTAGAGACAGAGCCAATGTTCCTCAAGCATTATTTCATTTGATCCTAACAAAAATCCTATATAACCGGTGTTAATATTGTCCTCATTACAGATGAAGAAACTGCGGCTCAGACAGGTTAAGTCACCTGCCCAAAGTCACACAGACAATGAGTAGCAGAAGTGGATCTGTTTCCAGTTCTATGCGTCTATGAAGCCTGTGCCTCACATCACTAAGCTTGAAGGTATTGTGTCATTATCTAATGAACTCATGTGCATTTTCCTTTGCATATGCAGTTCCCTCTCCTAAAATGCCCTTCCTTCTGTCTATTCAGCACACTCCTATTTACCCTTCAAGACCCCAGATCACGTATCTGCTCCTCTGCAAAGGTCACATAACCACCAACCCCACCCCAGGCAAGTTTATCATTTTGTCCCATGAATGTCTTCACTGCCTTGTACACTCCTCTGCCGCGGCACGTCTATCCTGCTGTCCCGATTTCCCCAACACACGTCCGTCTACCCCAGTGGGACCCGTGAGCGTGCGTCCTGTCCACCTCTATGATGTTTAGCCAGTTAAGTGCCTGGCACAGGGTGGGCACCTAAAAACGTATTTGTTAAGTGAATTAATCGGGAAGATAACAAAGTCCTAATTCACTCTCCTTCTATACCCTCCTACAGCTGGCACAGAGTAAGTGTTTAATAAACATTTTGTGAATAACTGGATGAAAGGACAGACGGACGGATGGATGGAAAGGAAAATGGTGGGGATTCAATGAAGGCGGCGCTCACCTGAATGCCCCAGGTCTGCAGCTGCTCTTCCGCGGCTCCCAGATCGAAGGAGATGGGCGCGCAGGTATTGTCGATCCGGAGAACCGTGAGGACCTGGCCATTGCGGAGCTCTGGAGGCAGACCGGAAACGTCATCTGGCTGAGCGGTAGCCACTTCGGGTGAGCCCAGAGCCACCCAGACATGGTGGCCAACCTCAAATCCCCCTGGAGAAGGACTGGACTTGACTAGGAAGCCTCCAGGAGGCAGGACCGAGGCCAGAGCGAGGAGGCTACTGGGTCACAATCCGAGACCACGTAAGGAAGAACGTCCCAAGAGTGAAAGCCGTCCCCTGCCAAGAATGGGCGACGGTGAGTTCCCCATCACGAGGGATATTTAAACAGAGACTGAACAACTAACTACCTCGAGGGGAAAACGTAGTGGACATTTATCCGAGCACTGCAAAGAAAGCTCAACTGATTAACTTAAATTCCCAGTAGGCTCAGAGAGTCTAAGTGAGAGATAACTGGTTACGGCAGGCAGAACAATAACACCCCTGCAAAGAGATCCACACCCTAATCCACACGAGAACCTGTGAACAGGCTGCCTTCCATGGCGGAGGGGAATTAAGGTAGCAGATGGAATCAGGGGTGCTGATCAGCTGGCCTTACACAGAGAGACGACCCTGCACTGTCTGGTGGGCCATGTGTAATCGCAGGATCCTTACACGTAGAGGAGAGGGCAGAAGTGGAGTAAGCGGAAGATGTGACTAAGGAAGAAAGGCACAGAGATCTGTAACATTGCTGGCTTTGACCACGGAGGAAGGGGCCACGAGCCACGGCATGCGGGCGGCCTGGAGCAGCTGGAAAAGGAAAGGACGTGGATGCCCCCTAGAGACTCCAAGGAACACAGTCCCGCCGACACCTGGATTTTAGCCTGGGGAGCCTAGTGCCGGACTTCTAACCCTCAGAACCGTGAGATAATAAATCTGTGGTTTTCGAGCCTCTATGTTAGTGGTAATTTGTTGCAGCTGCCACGGAAAACTAATGCACTTACGGATGATCTCCCCCAAGCATAGCTGCAACTCACTCAGCATTTCAAAAGCATAAATTCAGTCTTTATTCCCTCGAAAAACACATATCAACCCAGGCTGGTCACAACAGCTACCAGAACTCTTGCCCTGCAGAGCTGGGATGAAGCCAGACTATGAGACCAGCTGGAAAGGTCCAGACTGAAATTTCCCCAAGTCCAGGGACAAATGGCAGCAGCATGAAGCCAAACCCACTTGCCTTCAGTTCCAAGAACCTCTGGGCAAAAGGATTGAGATCTCCTTGCACCACAGTACGAGCCACTGGACAGCAGCCGGAGGTGGGGGCTGGGGTGGGGGTGATTCCAGCCCTGAGACTCTAGGATCCCAGTCCAGCCACGCATGGCCGAGGCCTGGCTATTGTGGCATATTCTCTGTGGCCGCTGCTTAGCTGATGAGGCAAGACTGAAAGGCTAAACCATAATTATGCTCTCTGCTGGCCCCAAGGTCCTGTCACCCCAGCCTAGCTCTGAGCAATACTGGAGTCTTCAAGGCCAAATGACTCACTCTACCTTCCTGGGAACCTGGTCCATCCAAACACTCTCTCTCCCCCGGTACCCAAGCCACCACTTAGTTCTGCCAACTGGGTCCACAAAACCTCTGTCCACTCCATGCACCTCCGGGCATCTCTACCTCTCCCTTACCCCTCTGCAGTAGCCTCCTAACTAACCGGCTTCTCCAAACCGACTCTTTCTCCCACATTGCATTCTCTGCACAGTGGCCACAGCACAAGTCAAATGACACCAGTTCCCTGAGTAAAACTTTCAACAGCTTCCTGGTGCTCTGTGGTCAAAAACCATCCTTCTTACCACGCTCTTCCAGCGCTTAGGAGAACTAGCCCCCTGACAGACTTGCCCTGAGACACTAGTTCTGTGTCTTTCCACACCAGCCCCCTTTGCTCTTTGAACGCCTAGTGTTCTTCCCACCCCAGGGCCTTTGCATATGCCGTTCCCTCCCCCTAAACCACTTCTACCTAGCTTCACCCAGTTATAGCCTATGCATCTTTTGTAGCCCCGTTCAATCACTTTTCCTTTTCCCAGGGAGCTCTCCCTGACATTTCAAACTCAATGGATCAAATTCTTCTGCTGCACCTACCCATGACTGCCTGCTCTTCTACCTTAAACTTATCAAAGATCAATACACAACCTGGATGGAACTGGAGGCCATTTTTCCTAATGAAATATCACAAGACTGGAAAAACAAACACCACATGTACTCAATACTAAATTAGAACTAATCTATCAACAGGTATGTGCACATATGGAAGTAAAACTCAACAGAAATCAAGCAGGTGGGAGAAGGAAGGAGGGAACGAGTAAATTCACACCTAACAGGTACAATGCATACTAACTGGGCAAAGGGCACACTTCTAACTTTGACTCAAACTGTACAAAAGCAAATTATGCAACCGAAATGTGTGTGCCCCCATAAAATTCTGAAATTGAAAAAAAAAAGACGAAAACATATGTATGCAATTACTTGAATAAAATCTATCCTCCCCACCAGACTATATACTCCCACACTGGTCTGTTCCTCGCTGAATCCTCTGAGTTGGGTTCAATGCCTAGCATACAGTAAGCACTAAATACACCTTTGATGTATAAGGGAATAAATACAATAGGACTCTGGTCCCCAACCCTGATAAGGTTCCTTTTTCATACCCTGGGGTACCATCTCTGATTTCAAGGGTTCCATAGAATTCTATGTCCTGCCAGAAAGAACTTTATTTCATTCCCTCTCTCTCTCTCTCTCTTTCTCTCTCTCCGCTTTCTTTTTTTTTTTTTTTTCCTTCTTTTTGGAAGGGGTGGGGATGTGGAGGCAGGGCAGTGAGGCACAGGAAGCACAAGCTAGACAGCTGTGAGGTTCACACCGTAGCTCAGCCTCTCACTAACAGGGTAAACGGGCGGAAGCAACCTAAACCCCTGGGCCTGCTTCCTCGCTTAGAGGATGATCACATCACTGCAGAGAACTTTCCAACTAATTAAGATGATGAAAATAAAGTGCTCGGCACAAAATGGGTGCAGAATAGCTGGCGCGATTGCTGTCATAATTTAAACGCAAGCATGTCAGAACTCGAAAGTTAGAATCGAGCATCAGTGATTTATTTGGATTTGTTTTTACCTTCCCATACCTTGCTCCAGAAAGGATTTAAGGTAGCTTCATGAAAATAAAACATGAAAAGATAAAATTATGAAATTCAATTTAAAATTAAGCAAATGAGGAAAACGAGACAAAAAGGAAACAAAGGCAGATAGTAAGAAAGGTTCCGGCTATGGAGCCCTTACTCTGTGCCAGGCGCTGGGCTTAGGCTTCGGTCGTGATTTCATTTAATTTTCCACGAGCCCTAAGGGGAGCGGGGGGGGGGGACCATTAACAGGGAAAGGGAAACTGAGCCTTTGAAAAGAGAAGGAACTTGCCCGATGTTATAATAACAGGGAAAATGAAAGCGAGAAAGAGACGCGAGATGGGAGAGCACGAAATGCAAGCAGTCACAGGGACGGGGTCCAGACCAGCTCTCCACGTCACAGCAGGAACGAACACCCCACACCGGACTCCAGGAACGGAGAATTCAAACCGTTCCCCCAGCCTGGCTCTTTGCATGTTAAGTGTTTGCCCAAGAAATGCACAGACCTTTCAGGATGTCTTTGTTTGCCTTTCAAACCAAGAGTTCCTGGATTCTTGGCAATACTAGCTCTCATCTGTTCCTTAAGGTGAGAAAAGCAAGTTCTTCACTTGGAAATACTTGTTTTTACACCTAGGCTAAGTAAACCTACCAAAGAAGAGATTGTATGGGGGTGTGTGGGGAGGGCAGGGGGAGGAATTTTCTACAAAGGAACAAGAACTGGCCTGCCAAAAATCAGTGGAGCAATGCCCTCAAAGTTCTGAAAGAAAAATTATTTCATTCCATTCCATTCTACTATTGCGTGTGTGTGTGTGTATGTGTATACATATATATATATGGGTTTCCTAATAACAGTAGTAATAAAAGAAACTTTTGCTTTTAAGCAGTCAAGTTTCAAATCGTCTAAGTAACCAACCATGTTCCTGTGGACCTGCACAATTCAGAGAGTGTTTCCCCTTGCCTGTACCTAGTCTTTCATTCATTCATTCATTCAACAAAATACTTACTGAGCATCTACTATGGACAAAGTCCTATGCTAGGTACTGCAGATACAGGGATGAACAAGAAAACACAGGGCTCCTGCCCTCATGGAGCTTATAATCTAGTGGGAAGCTGGACTTCAACACTTTATTATGTAGATAATTATTTATAGACTGTGATAAGTGCTGTAGGAAGAAAGAGGAATATATCAGTGTCCTGACTCAGGCAGAGCCTCAGGAGGATTCCTCAAGGAAGGCATATTTGAACTGAGCTCTGAAGCATGAATGGAAATTAAGCAGGGGAAAGGAGGCAGGGAAAAAACAGAATGGACAGAAGGAATAGCACGTGCAAAGGTCCTGAGGCAGAAGAGCATGGCAAAGAACATAAAGGCAGGCCTTGCAAGCTGGTGAATGATGGATCTCCACGCTAAACCCAATGAGAAACACTGAAGCAGAAAGTGACGTGGCTGGATATATGCATTTTGGAAAGAATTCTGGCTGCCATGCAGGGAATGAACAGAAGAGGGAAGAAGGAGAGGAGACCAGATGGGAAGCTAGAGCAGGGGTCCAAGTAGAGGGTGATAGTGGCTTGATCTAAGGAGGTGGTGATAGAGAGAACTGGGTAGAAATGACGGAAGTAGCCTAGAAATGTATCCCAAGGATGCCCATCCTTATCTAAAGGAACTTCTGTGCCCACAATCACGCTATGTGAGTCCAGCTCAGCAGGGGGAGGAGAGGGGCTAGAGAATGAGGGGCCATGAACTTACCTTGCCCCCAGCCAGGAGGGCTCCCTGCAGGAAGGGTGCCCCAGCCAGGGGAGGAGGTGGGCAAGGGGCCAGCCGCCCCCAGGTCCACCTGCGGTTCACAGGCCATGGCAGAGAGCGAGCTGAGCTTCTACTTCCCCTTCTCAGGGCTGTGGTTCATTCTGCAGCAGACGCCTCAGCTTCACTTGCCTTCAGAAAACAGGACAAAAAAGAACGTCAGGTCTGGGCCTTGGTGGGCTGGGCTTCCTACAGCTCTCTCCAAGGCCAAAGTCACCAAAGGCCAGGGAGAGGCACCGGGAGCCTTTTCACTGACTTTGGTCTTTCTGACCATGCTGAGAAAAACTCTTGGAAGGAGGAGAAACTAAACCTCCCCCCAAGGCCTAGACCAAGAACTTCCCTTCTGGTCTTGGGTCTTCTCCAGCTCAGCAGCAGCCACGGGCCCATGGGGAACTCAAGGGCTGACCAGGTCCCACTCCCAGGCATCTGGGATTTCCGGTTCCTTACTGAGGATGCCCCAGCAGCCACTCGCAAGAGAGATATAGTCACTACAGAGAGCCTTGTTGACACAAAGGATCTCAGATAGCTTCCCAGAAGACATTGCAAAACACAAATTCAAAAAACCAGGTGGTATAAAATATAAATCACACACACACAAAAAAAAGGTGGCAACCACAAAGAACAGAAATACCCAGCTACTTAGGCAATCAAGTTCCCCAGCAGAGGGGGTAGGGGTTTGTTTTCAAGAATATGGACTCCAGACTCAGCCTAACTAGCTGAAATGCCAGCTCTACCACCCCCTAGTTATGCAAACTTGGGCAAGCTTCAGCTCTTCAAATCATGGAACCTCCCCCAGAGAGTGCAGCAAAGAAGTGATGGATGACACACACAGAGGACATACAGCAGCATCTGGAACAAAGGACACACTCCATAAATATTAGCTCTTGTTTTCCTGTTTGAGGTTTGACACAGTTCCCGTGCCTGAGCCAAGAATTTGGTTTTGAGCTTCCAGGGGGCCAAAGCTAAAATGGCAATGCTGGCTGTTAAATAGTTATTAACAAGGAGGGAAAAAAAAAAGAAAAAAAACGGTGAAATGAGCATCTTCCTGGCATTTAGTTCTAAAAGATCTTGCAAATGCTTCCAAAGCTTCCAGAGCTGGGTCATTGAGAGGCACAGAAGGCTTCACCCTTAGCCACTTTGATCAGCAAAAGTAGTGATGCCCTTCATGAGTGTTTCCTTGATGAAAAACTGAGTCTCCAGTGCCACCGGCTCTGGCTGCAACCTGCACACTTGACTTCTGTTACGTGTCTGCATGGGGGTTTGGGATTCCCCCTTCCCCAGGGAAACCGTTCCTTAGTTCCCCTGGGATGACTCAACAGCCCTGCCAACTGTCTTGGTGAAAAGTCCACTAGAATCATCTTTTGCCGCCCTGGTTCTCAATGTTGAAGACATGAAGTGTCCAGGTGGCACACTGGACACATCTGCTTCATTCCGAGCTGGTCCAAGGGCTGACTGCTGCTGATCACACCCCCTGAAGGGGGACCTGATCCCCAAGCCCTCACCATCTTCTGCTTCTCTCAAGACCAGCTGCAGAATTCATGAGACCCAGCACAAAATGAAAACATGGGGCCTCTTATTCAAAAATAAGGAGGAATTTCAAGATGGCATCAGTAGAGCATTAGACTAAATGTGGGGGGAGGGTGCCTCCCTAAGTGGGGGGCTCATTGCGACTGTGCAGGTTACATGTACCTGCAGCTGGCCCTGACTTTAAGCTCCAGAAGATCACTTGGGAGCTGCCCTCTCCCAACCAAGAATATATAAAAGATGAGCCTTTAACAATTACCACACTCCTACCCTGTACCGGGCTCTGAGGCCAGAAAGCAGCAAAATATTATGAAAAGACTAAAGGCTTTAGAGCCAGAATGCCTGGACTTGTATCTCCACTCAGCCAATCAAGGTACATAACAACCCAAATCTTGCTGTTCTACCTGGAAAATCGGGTCAGCAGCCGACCCGGTACACCTGCTCAGGGCTGTAACAGAAGGAAAGGCAAGCACGACATCCGTCCTCTGCTCACCATACCAGCCCCTTTCCTCAGTATGTTTTTCCTGTCACATAGGAGAGAAAACTGAGGGTTAAAGATGTGAAGTGACCTACCCAAGGCTGGGTGCCTATCAGCTGTGGAGCCAGGAGATGAACCCAGGCCACCTGGCTCCAAGGTCCAAGCCCATGATTTCTGTGCCCTTGCACCTCTGGACTCTCGCCTGGCTGTCTCTGAGCTTGCTCCTGAAACTACCTTTAAAAAAAGAGAGAGAGCGCGCGTCAGACAAAGGAGACTGCATTTCCCAGGCAAGATCTAGCAACAAATTCCAGTAGCCCTGAGATGCTACACTGGGGAGAGCAGGAGCCTCTCCTTACCTAGGCCAAGGCCTGGCCCACGGCGGGCCCTCCTAAATATACTGAGCATTTACCAGTCAATCTTTTTTTTTTTTTTTTTTTTTTTGAGACAGAATCTCACTGTGTTGCCCAGGCTAGAGGGCCGTGGCATCATCCTAGCTCACAGCAACCTCAAACTCCTGGGCTCAAGCGATCCTCCTGCCTCAGCCTCCCGAGTAGCTGGGACTACAGGCATGCGTCACCATGCCCAACTAATTTTTTCTATATATATTTTTAGTTGTCCAATTAATTTCTTTCTATTTTTAGTAGAGACGGGATCTCGCTCTTGCTCAGGCTGGTCTCGAACTCCTGAGCTCAAACAATCCGCCCGCCTCGGCCTCCCAGAGAGCTAGGATTACAGGCGTGAGCCACCGCGCCCGGCCTTACCAGTCAATCTTACCCGTGCCTTACTTCCTTCCTCCTACCTTGTGCTCCCAAGAGGCACGAAAGCAACAAAAATAGCCACAAGGTGTCTGCCCTGCACTTGATAATCACTGAAGCCCTTCCCCGCTTCCTTAGATCACCTCCTAGGCCTACGAGGCAGATGTAATCCTTAGGTTCACATTCCAGACAGGAATCCAGGGACATCGTAGCTAGGAGTCTGCAACCCAGAGACAGTAGTGGGGTCTCAAAAAGGCCTGGGGAACCCAGAAGCCAGGAAGGACCACGCACAAGGTGGAGCTGCACAGGTATCCTTGCAGACTGCTTGGAAGGTTCCATTAATTGCAGAATCCCAAGATGAGGCTTTGTCTTTGCGAGGAAATCAGAGCACCCTGGTTGGCCCCATCAGCCTCCCACAAAGTTCTAATTGGCAGACTTAATTCATTCACCTGGAGGCTGTTTCCTGTACTGACTAGAAGTTACCTGCCTGGTCCTGCCACTTCCCACCTGTGTGACCTTGAGCAAGTTAGTGCTCTCTGCCTCAGTTTCCTTACATGTAAGCGGGGATAATGATGGTAACTTCAGGTTGTTGTGAGGTTTAAAGAGTTCACGCACGTAAACCGCTCAGAACAGCACTGGTCAAACAGGAATCATTGAAGGAACACAGCTGTCATTATTTTAAATCCGCAGATGTTCCCTAAGAACCTTCTAGGGCCAGGCCCTGTGCTTTCTTGACTATGAAACCAGAAATAAGACTTAAAGTCCCTGCTCAGCCCTCCCTCCTGGAGATCACCATCTGGCGGGGAAGAAACTCTTAGAGAATTATGGAACAGAAAATTACAAAACAAGGCAGTAAGAGGGAGCACCTAGGGGTGGGGGAAGTGTTCTTCAGGAGGCTTCCTGTAGGAAGGAGGCCCCTCGGATTGGCAAAAGCGGAGGTGACAGAAGCCAGCGCCAAGAAGGAATGGGTGCAGACCAGAGGCAGAGCAGAGGGAGGCAGCGAGCACAGCCTGGAGCACCCTGCAACTAACTGGTCATGGACTGCCTGGAGTTCCTTTGCTGATTCTGCATTTTAACCAGACCTTCCAGTTACCCCTCTTGCACAAGTTCAAGTCCCCTTTCTCAGCTAGAGGAAAGGGAAGTACCCTTAGGCCCTGTTGAGCAAAGGCCTCCATTTCTGCAGATGCTAAGCGCCCAGCCTCCCCAGGAACTATGAGCATCACTGAGATTCATGAGAGCGAGAGACAGAGAGAGAGAGAGACAGAGAGAAACTACTGTTTCCCTAAATAACGTTTTGTTTTTCTTTGTTAAACTGGAAACCCAACAGGAGACCGTAAGAGTGCCTGTCACAGACGTTGTGGGTGGAAAAGCCTTGAGAGACAATGAGTCCAAGCTCTCCATTTTACAGATGAGGACAGTAAGACCCAGAAAAGAAAGTGAACTACCCAAGGTCAAGAAGCCAGTCCTGGGCGGAGCCAGAACTGAAACCCGGGCTCCTTCAGGCCCCGGATGTCCCACCATACACGGTCTTAGCCTTAGGCAGCTGTCTGGTCCCACTCTCTGCTCTCAGGTCCTCTCCAGGTCTGCTGCCGGGGTTGGGGGGTCTCCTTCCCCCCAGAAATCACCCGGCCCTGCCCCGGCCGCGGGCCCCAAGAGGCGCCTGAGAGCGGCTCCCACGCCCGACACGCGGGGGATGGGGGGCCCCAGGCGCACGGAGGGGCCCGCGGCGCCGACCCCGGGCGGTCGGCCCAAATGCAGGCCGACGCGGAGGCGGCCAGGCGGCCTCGCCGCCCCGGGGCCCCGCGGCACCCACCTGGGATCGCAGGCACACGGGCGCGCGCCCGGGCCGCGCACTCACCGCCCGCGCCACCGCCGCCGCCGTCGCCGCCCGGGGACGCGGAGTGTCAGGGGCCTCCGCGCGCCCCTCCGCGCCGCAGCCTCGGGGCACCGCCGCCCCGCGCCCCGCCCGCCTCCGCGCCGCGCCGCCCTCCCGGGCCCGCCCCCGGCCCGGCCGCCCCGCGCCGTCACCCCGCCCAGAGGAGCCGCCCGCCCGGCTCGCCTCGGGGCCGAGAGGGACCGCTCCTCCAGGGCCCGCGCCGGAGCCGAGCTGTAGGCTGCGTTTCATCAGCCGGGCGCCCCCCCGGGACGCCGGCAGTCGCCTCTGTGTCCCTGCCGACCACGTGCGTGGAGTCTGGGGCTCTGCCGGCCCCGGCGCGGTGACCTGGGCCAGGTGCAGCAGCAGCTTGCCTGCGAGGGCCAGTCCCGCCTCTGACAAACGGTCACGCGATCGCTGCATGGGGCAATATTTGGGATCAGAAGTTTCTCGGACTTGTTTTCAATGAAGAACTGTGTGTGCGCCGTATTAGTAAGAGCGTCGGTTTGGGGATCAGACTTCCTGGGCTCTAATCCAGGCCTCTCCAGTTCTTATATCATCTTTGGTAAATTATTAACCTCTCTATGCCTTCATTTTCTGTAAAAAGCAGATAATTATACCTATTTCATACGGTTGCATGAAGATTTAATGAGATAATCTGTGTGAAGTGTTCGCAACTAACTAGACACGTAATAACTGCCTCACTGGTGTTCACAACCGCCAGACACACAAGGGCTCACTAGATGTGGGCTGCCACCCCACCATGATCATTTCAAAGGGCTCGACAATGAAAAGTAAGGGCCCCTTCCCCGAGGGAAGCACTAACCTTGCGTGTTTTACCTTGCGTGTTTTTCGGTAGAGTACGTATGTACAGGGGTGTTTGTGTGTGTGTGTGTGTTTGTGTGTGTGTGTGTGTGTGTGTGTGTGTTTCTGCTCTGTTGGACACCCTGCTTTTTCATTCACCGAAGTACCTTGGCATTCATCTGCCAGAACACTCCACTCCGCCTCATTTCCTATTAAGGGGCACACAAACTTCCATGTATGGAAGTAGAAAGGGTCTGATTTTATTCATCCCTCTCGGTGGACATGAAGGTGGTTCCCGCTCTTGCCCACAGGCCTTGCTGAGATGCTCATAGCCATGTCTTGCATACATGCCACGGCCTGCGTTTCTACCAGTAGACTTGCTAAATCAGAATATGCATGCATTTTTAATTTTAACGGATATTGCCAAATTGTTGGGGGACTCTCAGACCACAGGAGTCCTCTGGCCGCATGCTCGGCCAGCCCACAGAGGCACAGGGCTTGGGTACAGCCAGCAGTGGTTGAGAACCTGAGCTGTGGGTACCACCCAGGCACCCTCATTCACCAGGCGAGTGAGGATCCAAGCAGCAGGCTACTAAAAATAAAGTTCATTCATTTATTTATCAACAAATCAACATGGGGTGCCTGCTAAGTGCCAGGCATTGTACTGGGCAAGAGTGAGCAATACACGCAAGATCCCTAGTTAGTGTGCCCAGTTTCCAAAAAAAAGCGATTTGGGGGCATGGGAGGAACAGCCCCAAGGGATGCTGCAGGTTTACTAAATGCTGATAGAATATTAAAAAGGATCCTGCAAAGGTGTGTGGCTTGGTCATGTCTATCTGAACTGTGCCCCTCCAGGAAGACCACCTCCTCCATGAAGTCGGATGTAGTCCTCCTGCCCTTTCTGCCAGGCCACTGTCACTCTTCGTTCTCATTGCTGGTCACTCCAGCATGAACTTACGTGTTGACACATGAGTCTTCTCCACTAGGGAAGGTCAGAAGACGGGGGCCTTTGGAGCTGGCTAACCAGGCTCCACCAGTTACTGACATGTGGCCTTGGACAGCTCAGTTCACTCTCTGAGCTTCGATTCCCTCATTTATAAAAGGAAAATAATATTATACCTGCTCAACTGGGAGAGATAGCAAGAATTAAACGAAATGATGAAGTGCTTAGCAGAAAGTGCTCAGTAAAAGGGAGGTGCATTTTTGGACAGCAAGGCATCATGTGTTTGCATCTCAGAAGCTTCAGCACTCAGCCAGCCCTGGCACGGGGGCCTGGGGGAGCAGGGGCTCCACGCGGGATGGAGAAAGGCCAATAACATCCAATCAAGGGAGGTGAAATGTAGTCAAGTCTGCTAGAAAGCAGGTTTCAGTGGCCATACCTTGATGGATCCACAATCCTTTGTGGTGGACCTGAGCCCCTCCCCACCAGCCTACCCCAGACCAATCTTTACCAACTTTCCCCAACCCCTAAAAAACCCTAAGTTGCAAGAATGCAGAGCATCTCTCAGTTCCTCCTATACCCCATGCTCTCACTTCTAGTTCTCAGTGGTTGCCATTCCTTCCCCATCTGGAAAGTTATCCACAAACCCCCGCCCTGCCTCGTCACCTGACTGACACATTCTCAGGTCTCAGCTGAAAGAGCCCTTCTTCTGGAAGCCCTTTCCTGTCCTGGGCCTAGGCCTGGCCCCTATTCTCAGTCACCTTTGCTTACCCTATGCCCATATCTATCACAGATATGGTCATTGTTTGGTGTCCCCTTTCCCAAAACAAGAGTAAGTCTTTTGGGAATAGCGCTGTTTCTGCCACACCCATTGCTATACCCCAGCACCCTGCCCTCGGTATTTGTTAAATGCATCTGAAATAGCGCGTGAGTAGATATGAATGAAATCATCAGGGCCTCAGCTATAGATAAAGCCAAATAACCACAAACCACAGCCAAAGCCACCCTTACTCAGCAGTTTCTCCCTCTGTCCTGTCGTGTTTGCAAGGGTTACAGACCCACGTCTGAGGGCTCACTGCCAATGCAATTTGGCAACCTGGATGAGCTAAGAGAATGAACTTCTTCCCAGCCGGACGGAACTGTAAATTGTTGCAGCGGATGGTCCAGAGAGCTTCAGCACCACTGGATGAGTAAGTGAAAGGGCAAAGATTAAAGATTTGTTCTTGTTTTTTGGAGCTGGTCTGCCAGTTTCGGATTCACTGACTTCCTAAACTTTTTAAAGAAACATACTGCTTGAAACGTTACCGTTGCCTGAACAAATTGAACTAAATCATACAGCAATTCAGGCTGGGAAGTCACACCCCGGTTCAAATCCAGACTTTGCCACCAATTAGCTCAGTGACCTTGGACAATTGACTGTATCTTTCTGAACCTTAGTTTCCTGATTTGTACACCTGAAATAATAATACCTGAGAGAGATGGTGGGAGAATTAGATTATGTATGTAAAGCACCATAAATTGTTCCTGGTATAAAGTTGATGTTAATAAAGTGAGCTATTTTTAAAATAATTTCCAAAAGTGTGTGCCACAGAACATTCCATTGCTAGTGGCTCCGTTACATCCATTTCAGCTCCTGGGAGTCACGTGGCCAAAGGATGAACTTCACTGCCAGACACTCATGATATAGGTCAGCAGCATGCGAGAGCTGGGGACCGAACACACAGCTGTCCCTGGCAGGAGTGCCGGGAGTAAGCCAAATCACATGCTGTTTGTCAGGAAACTGGGTCAAACCAGAAGCGAAATACTCTGAATTCCTGTCAGGAAGGCCAACAAGCCCCTGGGGATGTCAGGGGTCTGCTTCTACACTACGTAAAGAAAGAAAAGAGCCAGGGACAGGAACAAAAGGAATAAAATGGAGCAGGGCCGGAAGAGGGGGCACTCACACCTGGCTGGGAAGAGGAGGGAAGGGCAATTGCAGGTAACTGGGCTCTTAACTGGAGAGAGCTCCAGTGCCTGGCATTCTCATCTTTAAAAGCCACCTACGATAGTGGTGGACAACCCAGACATGCTCTCTGAACAACCAGCCTCACTTCTCTCTGAACCGTATCTTCAGTGGCAGCCTTCTGTTCTAGAATGCTGCCACTGTTCCCTTTGCAAGTTATTTCCGAGCAGGAAAAACTGCTCCCTGACCCTCCAAGCCTACCCATCCCCGTCAATCATCCCCCTAAACACAGTAAGCCGTGCCTTTAAATTCACTCACATGTGACCCAGGAGCCAGTCAGTGTCATTTAAAAATTTTTTTAAAAGATAGATGTTGACATGATGATCTGGCAGCTTCTGGATCTTTCCAAATCACTGGCCAAATCTTTCAATAAAGAATATGACCAAAAAAAAAAAAGATCATGCCTAGCCTGCCTCTCGAGACCTGCCTACTTGCCTGGGAAGGGGGGTGGGGGGAGCAAAACAAGAACTGCCTGCTTGTGCAGGAGCTTTTCCAGTAATTTCAGAGCCACTGAAGTGATATGAGATCAGCTGACGGGAGAAAAACACTTTGAGATCTGCCAGATTGTCCCTGAAGGAGAGAAAAAAATGAAAGCAGCAGAAAAAACAAGGGACATGCAAGACTCATCAAAGCATGTACTTTCTGCAGAATAGCTTCAGTTGACTTCTGGTACCAGCGGTGTTGAGTGGAGGAGAGGCCACATGTGCCAGGAAATGCAGAATGTTATCAGGCCTCACTCAACCAGGCCCAGAGGCCTTGCTGGAATTACAGGAGGCCGAGTACCCTGCCCACCAAAATCCTGGGAGAAAGCCTGAAGGCGGAGCATGGTAGGTTTTCTCTTGAAGCCTGCCCGCTGATCTGACTTGACTTCAGTTCTGTCACTTCTTTGCTCTGTGACCTAGAACATTCTGTAAGCCTCTGGGTCTCAGTTTTCTCATGCTTGCAAATGAGATTACAATGCCCAACCTGCAGGGCTGCTACGTTTATATAAAGTGCTGGGAAGATAACAGGCCTCCCTCACTAGGAGCAGAGATTCTTCTGACAAGTTACTTTGCCTTTCGGAACCTCAGAGGGTTTTTCCCCCCACCCATAAAGTAGGAGTGGCAATTCTTTGGGAAAGCTGAATGAGATGTTACCTGCAAGGTTACACACCGGCTTATGTAAA